GTCAGATAAGCATTAAAAGATTGAGAGCTCGAGTAGGCGTTAATAATTTATATTTATCACTATAGCTTACTTTATTTATTCCTAAATATATATATACTTTTTTTTATGATACCATAGACGTCCAACCTCCTAGCATTCAATGCCCACCTAACCAAGAACTATCCACAGAAACTGGTCAATCGTACGCAATAGTGACGTGGGAGGTACCAGTCCCTTCCGACAACTCCAACATGTCACTAAGTCTGAAAGGTTTGCGCCCACCTCAGCAGTTCTATGTTGGTAGACATTATGTTAGATATGAAGTCACAGACACCGCTGAGTTGTCAACAAGCTGTACATTTTCTATTAACGTTAAAGGTGCTTATTTTCTTCTTTGTTTTGAGCTACACTTCAATAGATGTTCGATAGCATCATATCATTTGTGACTTGAATATATTGAGGATCTCAATTTGTTAACCTCTAGGCGTAAGAAGTGACACATTTTAACCCTTCGTCGTCAACCGAAAGATGACCAGAATTTAACCTTTAGCTGTAAAAGCAATCGCCCTATTGAGACCCTCCAGTAAGTTTTGGGAGATGGAAGCCCACTTTCGCAGCCAATACTGCTTTTTAAAAGGAATAAAGGCTGACTGCAGCGAAAAACCAAAGTCAGAACTACTAGACTGTACATGCATAAGTATTTAAAGTTAAGCAAGGCGAAAATACAAAACATGTTAGAAGAAAATCTTTGATTCTACGTCATCTTTGTATTACCAGTAATTTCACTCGTTCGAAAATCGCATTATACTTTTATTGAGCTTTTTTTAATAAAGACACTTAAGTTCTAACTGTAAAATTCTTTGGACGTAATAAAAGAAATAAAAATCTTCATACATGTTATTCAAATGATTATGTAATAAAACCAATAATTTTAGCTTTGGCTTCACTGGAAGAGCTTTTATCAGCATTCCAGCAACTTGCATGTCATACCTTAAATTTTGAAAAGGATTGATTCAATTAGTTATCTAGTTATTAACTTATTCGTTTTTCTACCTGTTTCGCAATGTATTTATTATTTTTTTCTATTATCCATGCAAAAAAAAGATGTAGAACCTCCGGTCATTGTTTCTTGCCCCGACGATATCTTCCTTTCGTCTGGAAAGAGGGATAATACGATCTTTTTTCCTGGAGTCACAGCAACGGATAATGTGGGAGTGTTCTCCATTTCACTTAGCAGACCAAATGGAAGCGAATTCACTTGGGGCGAGCATAATGTAACCTGTATTGTAACTGATAAAGCAGGAAATGTTGCCGAATGCAATTTCAAAGTTATTATTACCGGTAAGTACATGCATATTGATAGAATAAAAGAGATGGTGAATTCTACGCCCCATGAGAAAAATATATTTTGTGCAGCCTTTTCATGTCAATTGGTTAATAGATAAGCCCGATTGAAAAAAAAAGATAGAGATTCTATATATGGGCTTACCGATTTTAATTGAGGCAATTAGAATGCTAAAAATATTTTGGTCTAGTTATGCTAATAATTTTATACACGAGGAGTTAGAATCAAACGTGTTCTGACAGTCGAAGATTCTATCTTGGATCATTTTTGCATGATTTCACGCCCATTCTACTGATACATTGGGTGCATGGTTTCTAAAAGCAGCAGAAAAACTGCTAGTACTACATTATTGGTAACGATGTGAGCAATATTCTCATACAGCATTTTTCATTGACGTTTGTAGAACCAAAGTAATAGAGTAGCTAACGAGAAAAAAATGTGCGTGTATCAATGTTGTCAGTGAGAACTTGAAACATTGAAAAGATACAAACTATCTAATGCGAGGGAGACTGGAGAGGCCTGTTCTGTGATGGTTCCGTATTTAGGTTTACCATTTTCTTCTCCCCGTTATCCATGACAACTTTTAACTACGGAATGAAAATTGCTTTGAGCCTGTTCCTCGACCTCATAGAACCGTAATGAGTGTTTGTCTACATATCTATGTACAAGGCATACAGAAAAATTGAACTGAAAAAGCTCTAAATAAATATGATGCTTTACTGAGGTGTGAAAGTGTTAATCCGTTGTTTCTTTTCACAAGATGAATCATGCCCTGATCTACCACCACCTGAGAACGGCGCTAAGGCTTGTGAGATGTGGCTGACCGGGGTGTTCTGTACCGTGCATTGCAATGAAGGTTACGGGTTCGTTGAACAACCGGAAGATGTGTATTTCTGTACTCCGGGAGGAACATGGATGAACGCATTTGTAAATGGCCAAAAAGCACCTGCTTTTCCAGACTGCTCAAGTAAGAACTAACTTTGTCATGATTCTTGTCTGTATGAATACTTGTATCTTTAAAACAGGTTAACTAAAAAAACATGATGTCATGCATAATGCGGACTTCTCCGTGAACAGGCTCGTGGAGTTGAATCGCAACTCAGCGAGGTAACCGTATTTTATAGAGAGGTGATATAATCTGACTTCTCAGATATAATCATCTCTCCGTAGCGATGAATCAAAGGAAAAGTATAATTGTTTTTGTTTGGCTCTTTTTTATGTTTTGTTCCTTTTTTGTTCCTTTTTTTGTCGGTGCTTTGTTTTATTGTTAATTTAATGTTTCGCGTTCGTTTCCTTTTTTGGTTGTTTTTTTTTTGCTTATTTTCCAGTCTAGTATAAGGCAAAAATCGGCCGAAACCAGCCAATGAGGTTTTCTTTTCAGAGGTGTTTGCTTAATCTGTATTAACTGTTAGTGATACTGGCAGTAAATCTGAGTATTAACTGTTGTTTCAGAGACGTATATGCCGAAAGAGGCCATAGTGAATGGAGACCTCCATTACCTAGTTGATGCGTGTGGCGACGAAGCAGTGAGCGAAGTTATCGCCAGCAACTTCATACAGCTATTACAGAACTCAGTTTTTGGTAGCGCTGGAGCCTGTAATAGTCAGTGCACAATCGATAATGTCGAGGTAGAATGTGGAGAAACAGGGACACGCAGGAGAAGAGAAACGCCCAATGTTCCTCTCACGATGCGTTTTGCTTTAAAAGTTCCTCTACCAGTCAACGCTTCCTTGGTTGACCTGAATGAAACCGCAGAACTACTATCCAATGACTTATTATCAACATTAAACGAAACTGACCTGAATCTGAACATCAGTGGAATTGTTATAAAGTATGACACTTCGAGAGCACCACAGCTTCGCCTTGTGAGTCTCGTTTGTGGCAAAGGACAAGTTCAAAGAGGGACGCATTGCGGTAAGAAGTTAGTTACTAATGCTAAATAACACATCTTTGAGCGAAGAGTTCTAAAACTCACTGTATAACAGCTACATCACTCGTATCAGAAGTTCATTTTGATTTTCGCTGATAGAAAAATCATCTTGGGTTGTGCATGGTGGAGCAGTGGACTAGAGTTTATTGGAAATGGGGGTTATTTTAAGCTGAGGATTAATGGAGATTGAACATATCTTTTCTTTTTGTGGCATTTACAGTGGGATGAGAATATCACACTGTATGACTCTTATAGGATTTCTTAAAAGGAATTATTCATTGGCCGTTTTCTTATGCAATTTTTTTTTTCGGATTTTAGTTAACTGTCCACTTGGCTTTTACTTTACTGAAAACGATTGTCGAGCATGCCCAGAAGACCAATACCAGGACCAAGAAGCGCAGAGCTCTTGTATATTGTGTCCATCTGGTACGGTAACCTTTGGAAAAACAGGATCAAAATGGCGAAAAAGTTGCCAAGGTAACAGCTGTTTTCTAAAAGATGTACAAACAATTTTATTACCTTTCTCATCTTGTGCTTGTTTTTGCATATCTGTTCGTTTTTTTGGTTCTTTTTGTTTTTGTTTTTGCTTGCTCTTTCATTTCACCAGAAGCTCCGTAGTCTGATTCTTTGCGATCTTCATTTCTTTCCCCTAGAAATTCCAAGTATGTCCAGTGATGAAGAACAAAGCGGCTTAAAGCCAGTAACTCTTTATTCAAGTATTGCAGCAGGATCTGTACTGTTTATTATTTCCCTGATTATCATCGCCATCTTCTACGGAAAGAAACATCGTCGGTGAGTTTTTTTTCGCTATGTCCGAATAGTTACATTCGGGTTACCTTGACAAGGATTAGGTATCCGACAAACATTCTCCAATACGAGATCTTGGTGGGTTATCTTCTTAAAGGAGGATTTATTTATTTCATAGCGCACAGAAAGCCCTAAACAAGTTATGAAGTTAGCCTTTCTGATCCTGATACAGAGTAACAAAAATGAATTGTCAAAAGAAAAGAAACTTTGTAAAATTTGAGGAAGAAGATTAAGAGGTAGAAAGGAATATAGATATATATCGCAATCACACTTCAAATAGTTTCTTTAACAAGTTAACCACCCTTACTTATTGCAAAGCTCTTCTGAGTGCAGTTCACCGCACAGTTTTTAATATCAAACCTGTTCTATATTGTTTTCTGAAAGTAGAGATATCGAACTCGCCTTGTAACTTTCACATAAACGTTGCTCGCAAAAGGGCTATTGGCGATGACGATATTTAGGTAGACTCGATTTCCACCGTTTCCTTGAGTCTTTTCTTCGCCTGGTTCGTGTCCCGGTAACCCTGGCTTCTCCTTATTGTTTTGGGTTCGATCCACAAATGTTTAACAGCTGAAGTCCGTACTTCGCTTCAGATGACATACCTTTTTCGCTATTGGCTACTTCTCAACCGGTCCCATTCTCCCCCCTCCCCCTCTACTGAAATAACCAAACTGCTGAAGAGACCGCTGCTTTGACTCGGGAGGGGTGGGTGGGGCGGGTCTTGACCCATCTGACTCTCCTGTCCGCCTTTGCCATTAGGTGAGTCGACACTACGCTTTTCGTCCTATATCCTATCTTTAAATCGTAAAACAAAAGTAATTATAGCGATCACAATAGAAATTAAACAACATCCACTGAAAAAATATTTGATATGATTAGTTACTTACTGTTGGTACCCGAAGACAACTTTTCACCATGTTTATTTTGTTTTGTCTCACAGTGGCGTGCGCAGGACAGCCGCCAACCGGGGTATAGACATGGGGCATCGTAATCCCGTATACGAATTTGCCGGAGATGACCCTCAAGTCGATGATCCTGTCTATATGGAGATCGATGTTTCTAAACTACGTACCAGCAATGATTTGCCGTTAAACAACAATACGGACTACTTCGCTTTAAAAGACGTACATCAAAACGATTACGAAAGACTTGAATTCACTTACTCCGAGGCATGAAAGATCCGGATAAGATTAGTGTTCTAGAGCATATCGCCTTAATAAGAAGAGATGCTATCCTTAGAGACACTAATTGGTGTCATTTGAGAATAATTATGCACACCTATTCCTGTAGTGAAGTGCTTTGGAGACACTCAAAGTAACATGTGATTTTAAGACACGTTAGTTTTCTCAGTATGTAGCGATAGAAAATTTAAGCGGAAGCTAACATTTCTTTAAAAAAAACTTTGGTCGCTTTTTCCTACCACTTTTGTTCCAAAAAAAGAAAAGAATGCAATCAGCGTAATATTCTAAAGCTGAAAATAAAAGAACTGTACGATACACCGATAGTAGTGAAACTCCAGCCATTTTTAGAAACATATTTTATCAAGACTGCAAAAGATCGGTTGTAAGGTGAAACGTAACAGAATGGCAAGAGTTTAAACAGGGTAGTCAATTTACTCGGTGGAACTCAAGCTGGCTAAAGCCGTCATTAACAAGTTGGTCTATATATTTCTAGTTTAGGTGCAACTGGGCATAGTTATAACCTTCATCTGACACTTGCTCCTAAAATCAATGGAGCATATAAGAAGTAGCTGCAAAAAAGGAAAGATGCAAAGGTAAAAAGAAGAGATCGGACGTTTTGTGCTAGTACCTTTTTTATTATTGTCTTTTTTTTTCATTAAATATGATTTGAAAACCTTTTTCCAAAATAGGAAAAATTTAAGAGTTAGGTTTTCTTCAATCTACACATTAATTTGTTTACGACCTTACCTCTGATGTTAATAACTTGTTATATCTTGATATCAAGTGTGAGTAAGGTATAATAAATTTCTCTGGGTTTTTCTCTCGAAGGTGTCCATTTCATGATTAAGCAGGAATCTGAAGCTATACTATGTAAACGTCACTTTTTAATTCTCTAAGGATATGAGTTTGAACGTATTCTTCATTTAAAAATGATAAAATTTCAGTCCTTTCGAAACTTTTTGCGTTATTACTCTGTTTTATGATTCGTGATGGGGCCTTTAGTCTCAGTTATTGGAAGTTAAAGCTCTGCTTTACTCTCGCTCTTAGCCAATCATAAAGCGCGTTATATCGGCCGCAAACCTAAGCCTTATGAAACAATGCACTAATTATTTATCTTAGAAAATATTAAATACTATCAGTGAGACTAAAAATTTTTGGAAATTACAAACATGTAAGAAATATGTATAATTCATAGATCATCGTTAGCATAACCGGTAAAGGGATAAGTTATGATCATAAATGTGATAACGATAATGATGATGGTAATGATGATGATAATGATGATGATAATGATGATGATAATGATGATGATAATCATGATGATGATGATGGTAATAATGATGACAATCCTTTTGCATTGTCATTATTATAATGACGACAAATAGCTAAGGATCAGCCTACGGATCTTCAGCGAGAGAAGCTCTCCCTTTTTATTTAATGTTGATAAAATCCAATTTTCTCGATAAAAAAAAAGCTTCCTGCTCTGAAGCGGACCTTAAAATGACTTCTGTGTTCAGGCAATTCCGGCCAAAGCAAAGATCTCTGCAACAATACTAACTTTGGAAGCAGAAGAACTCTTTGACCATATCTTTCACTGCTGCCTTACGTCTCTCATTTTCCAGCAGTACAGCAATGGATTCAGTGATGAGTTCAACTGAACAAGAGTTATTGCTTACTCAAAAAAATAGAGCAAAAATTGGCGCATAAGTTATGTACTCTACGAATATCATTATAACAAATGGTAGATAACAAACTAACAACACAAGTGATATCCAAAGTGCACTGGAAACTGTTTTTCTGTATCGTACAATATTGATTGGTACTTACTTCCTATTTGGCCGCGAGAGGTAAATAATTTCTTGGACTTGAAACTGGTGATGGCGAAATATACGATAGATTTTCACATAACAGAAAGTAGACGTTGATTTTCACAACAACATTATTGCACTGGCGGTAAATAAAAGAATACGATATCCATATAGGTAAACTACTGCGTTACTACTGCTTTCAAGCCAAGAAAAAATTACAAAGGCCCAGACTCGTTTCCTTGTGATGGTTTGTCTATATCTTAACCCAAGCACCAGCGCGAACAATCTTTCCACACTTATTGCAGTTGACGTGAACAAAGATACGCCGCAGAGAGATAAGGCCACAACTGGAGAAACATATTCCAGATATTAACAGAGACTATAGTAGTGCGGAGACAACATATAGGCAATATTCAAAGGCTGCAATATGATTCCGACGCAAAGATCCGTCAATGCTAGGCAGCTGAACAAAAGTTTTGATGGCGGATGAATCGAAGTAACCTTTTGAAGGGCAACAATTATTAAGAGGTTTCCTGGAAAGGATGTGATGGCTATAAGCACATTTAAGGATGATATGATCTGCTTGTGAAGTCCATTCAAACCATTGGCGCAGTAGTAAAAGTGTGCTGTCGATGAGCGGTTTCCGACTTCACTAATATTCGAAATTGTGTGGATAGAATATCGTCGCACTCTAGCTTTGTGACGAGAGATCCAAACTGTGTCGCTTTTTTGCAGTCCCGTCTCTTTGTAAAATGCTTCACTCGTTTATTACAGCTTCCTTTAGAGTGATTAGATTGAGACCAAATTAGGAGTGTAAAATTTTTATGAGGGAAAATACGCTAAATACGCTAAAACTAAATACACTTTGGAAAATTACAACGGAAATAACAGTGAAGCCTACAAAATACCAAAAGTTACATTTGTTGCGATGCTGAAGAAATACTGCTGAATTATTGCAGAGCAGCGAAGAGGCGGCACGTAGTGCAATACGTAGAGATATGATTGCATGAAACATAATATGAAATATAATCGCAAGCGGACCTACTGAGTAAAACTAACAACTTCGATGAACAACGCCTTAAATACTTGCTACGTTACGTAACGTTACAATGCACAGCGCACGCACAAAATTTTTCTTACTGTAGTTAAGGTCGTTTGTATAAAAACAGTAGACAAAAGAAAAAGACGTTTGTGATCTACATGTTTAGAACACAAGGAAAGTTTATAAACGCGGTTAACCGATAAAAAGTGCGATATATCGCTTTTATGAAATATACTGTGGGTTTAACGATGCAATGAATTATAAGTTTGACCAATCAGGTCGTTCGTAGTGTCTCAGTTTATAACACAAGTTGTTGTTGTCTTTAAGTAGACTAAGTGAAAGATGAAAGGACTTCTTAATGATATTTTAAAATTTGAATCCTTCACCCTATGAAGTTTCCTGAAATCTCATGAAGGGGAAACTTGATATTGGCGGATAATCTTGAATCATCAATACATGTTGATGGGTTTGATCATCATTTAAATTTCAAAATTTTACAGCACCATTCAGTGAGAAAGTTAATGCACATCTTCCACTGATCAATACAGATAAAATTTTGTGAAATCAATTTGAGCGAGAAAAGCTTTCAAGCTATTTTACAGTGTTCAGAAAAAAAAAATGAAATTTTGGTTACAATTTTCACTAACCATAATGCTGTGTGAAATTCCAAATCGATAGTTGCAGTCCAATTTAATCTTTTGAGTTACAATTCCCTTCTTTATCCATACATAATTTTTTTTGTACGCCGCTCAAATGTTTCTACTTGCAATTTACACATCACATCTGGGCATCAATTTAACGGTTGGCAAAAATCTGCGCAACAGATTGCATTGGATAGCAGTCTTGGTTTGAAGGCCTTTTACGTAATGAGTACTTCGGACAAATTTGCAAACACTTGGCTCTTCGTTTGATTTACAACAATGGCGTTCCCAAAAAGAACCTGGCTGCTTTGAAAACAGCTTTAACCTGTGCGCTGTGTAGCGAAGATAATTACCAGACAAGGAATATCATACAAGAAAATTGAAGAAATTTGATATTAGAAGATGATCTTTGCGACTATCAGTAAATTTTAACTGATTTGATTCTCAAAATTTTTTACCGTAATCTTCAGTGAGAAAATTAATACTCACCCTCCACGGATCAATGCAGATTAAATTTTGTAGAATTTTGTAGCGAGGAAGGCACATAAGCTAGTCTTAAGCGTTCAGAAAACAAATGGGAATTGAAGTTTTCAGGTTGTATTATAGAGTTGGTTTTTGAAAAATGCATTGGCCAGGCTTCTACTTTCAGTTAACGTCAAGTTGTGTGCGAAATTAAAATCGATTTTTTTACAGGCCGCTAAAAAGTTTCATCATCATCATCATCATCATCTTTTGTTTGCCTTATTTAAACAATACAAAAGTTTTTTTTTATAGCGGTTATAGCTAGAAGGCGAGGAGACCCAGGAAGCCACCGGGCTTATGGGAGAGCCACCTCACCTAAATTAATAAATAAAGTAAAGAAAAAGTGCTGCGAATGTGCGGCTAGGCCAACTCAGTGATTATTTAAGTAAAAACTCTTGCTTTTTCGTCTCTTTAACTAAGAAGGTTTGAGAAAAGAGTGGCTGAAACAGGAAGAGAGTTCCAAATTTTAGGAACTTGGTAGATCATTGTAAATTGGTTGAGATTTGTACGGCACAAATGCGTTCGATAATTATTGGCTGCTCTGGTACCATAGTTGTGAATTTGGCTATTCGTTACAAAAAGATTGACGGAAGCAATGGGGGAAATAACTTATTTCTATAATAAAACATGAATTTGGCGATTTCAAACGTATTGACTTGGAAAATATCTAAAATTCCTAGTTTAGAGAATAAAGGAGCGGAATGGGCTCGATAGTCTGAGTTGGTAATAACCCGCACAGCTCGCTTTCGCAAGTAATAAATTCTATTTAAGTTAGATACGTATGCGGACGACCAGACGCAGTTAAAATAAACGATATAAGGATAAATTAAGGTGTAATACAAGGTGAGTTTGGTTGTAGAGGATGGGAAAAAGTGAGACCTAAATATAATACCTATTGATTTAGCGATTTGCTTACATACATAGCTGATATGGTGTTTCCAGGTGAGATGATCATCAATATAGACCCCAGGAAATTTAGATACGTTAGATTGTTGTAGGGGTTTACCTCCAAAGGAGAGAAAAATGCTGGAGTTAAACTTCTTCTGTCTGGGTTTAAAAATTACGTATTTAGTTTTCTTTATATTAACTTAGAGCTCATTGCATTTTAGCCAAACATCAATGTTTTGGAGTTCATCATTAAGTACAGATTCTGAGCAATTTGGGTTTGAGTGGGAATAAAAGATACTGGTGTCATCAGCGAAAAGCAGTGAGTCTGTTAATTCAGAGGTATTAGGGAGGTCATTTATGTATAGAATTAAAAACAGAGGGCCTTAAATCGAACTTTGAGGGACACCACACTTAATGGTTCGCATTGCAGAGCAAGCTTGATTGAATTGGACAAATTGCTGGCGGCAAGAAAAGTAGCTTTTAAACCACTGCAGAGCTACGTCACGGATACCATAGTGCTCCAATTTGGCAAACAAGATTTGATGGTTGAGAGTGTCAAATGCTTCGGAAATATCTAGGAAAACACCCACCGTTGTTTCGTGTAGGTCGATTGCAGAAGCTATTTAATTTATCAAATGAATTAGTGCATGCGATGTCGAGTGATTTTTCCGAAATCCAAAGTGACAGCGGTAAAGTATATCGTGTTTTTCGGCAAATTCTACTGAGCGATTGTATATGACGTTTTCGAAATATTTGGAAAAATTAGACAACAAAGTAATAGGTCTGTAGTTTTCAAAAATTTTAGGATCCTCTGCTTTGAAGATGGGAATAAATTAGCAATTTTAAGTTTGTCCGGGAAAATGCCTTTTAGCAGATATAGATTGATAGTATCTGCCAATGGAGTAGATATAAGGTGAAATGAAAACTTAATGACATGCATTGGGATACTGTCATAGCCAGGAGCCTTCTTTGAAGTGAACATGCATGCTACAAATGCTTTCCAGTTCACTAGTTGTGGTGGGCTGTAAGTTAAAGGAGGGATGGTTAT